GCTGGGTGCTGAAGGGCAGTCCCCTCCTGAAGTCCATGCTGCCATTTGCCTAGCTGTTTTCCCATCTCCTTGAATTTTTCTTTCCTGTCATCAGGACCTGTCTTCCTTCCTTCCTTCCTTTCTTTTTTTTGTAGTACTGGGGATTAAATCTAGGAGTTCAGGTATGTTAGACAAATGCTGTACTGCTGAGCTATGGCCCCAATCCTTTCATCCTTATTTTGAGACAGGGTCTTGAAAAATTGCCCAGGGTGGCTTCAAACTTAAGATTCTCCTGCCTTAGCCTTCCACATAACTAGATTACAGGTATGTACCACCATGACCAGTTTAGCCATAAGAATATTTGGAGTGATGACTCTGGTCCCTCACTCAAAGGACCTCAGACCTTACTGGGTCCACAGTCCAGTGACATATTTTCCTGTGCAGTTTCAGCCAGGTACTAGAGAGAAAAGGGTTAAGACCCACTGTGTCTTTACTCTTCAGTGTACTGATCAAGTCTCTTAAGCCTTTAGCACAAAGAAAAAACTTACCCTGCCACCTCTAACACCAGAGCTTGGTAGAATTCATTTTTCTTCCTACAGCCTCAACCCAAAGTCATAGATATAGAGAATCAAAGAATTACTGCTAAAAAACAAACAATCCCACCCCACAAAAAACCTATTTTTTAATTTTTTTTTAAAAATGTGTGTGTGTATGTGTGTGTGTGTGGCCAGCTCAGCTCACCAGGGGGCGGGGCTGGCTGGCATGTGGTGCTGGGGGATTGAACCGCGGTCCCTGTGCTTTGCTAAGCTTGTTCTAAGTAGGTGCTTTAGACTACTGAGCCATCTCACCAGCCCCAAAAAACCTATTTAAAAAAGAAACCTGATTATTTAGAGAAAAACACAATAAAACAAAACAAAGTAATCATTGGTGAAAAAATGAAAAAAAAATTTTTTTAAGCAAGATACTAATGCCGCAGTAAGGGAACCCTGCAATTTTTGATATAAAGTCTAGTTTTAAAATTTAAAAACTGTGTAGGGGCGCACACCTATAATCCCAGCACTTGGAAGGCTAAGGCAGGACTGTTATGAGTCCAAGGTCAGTCCGAATTACAAACCAAAACAAAACAATAATAATAATAAATAAAGGGCAGGTATGGTGGCACACACCTTAATCCCAGGCAGGAGCACCACCAAGAGGTTGAGACCAGCTTGGGCTACAAAGTGAGTTCAAGGACAGCCTGAACTTCATAATGAAACCCTGTCTCAAGAAAACAAAAATACAGGGGCTGGAGAGATGGCTCAGTGGTCTAAAGCACCTACTTGAAACAAGCTTGGCAAAGCACAGGGACCGCGGTTCGATCCCCAGCACCACATGCCAGCCAGACCCGCCCCCTGGTGGCCTGAGCTGGCCACACACAATAAATAAATGTAATAAATAAAAATAAATAAATATTTAAAAAAAAATAAAGGGATTGGTGAGTTTAAAAAAAAAAAAAGAAAACAAAAATACAGGTCCGGGGAGATAGCTCAGTAGAATAAGCTCTTGCCTGGCAAGTGCAAGGGTTTGAGTTCAATCCCCGGTTCCACCAAAAAAAAAAAAAAAGAAAGAAAGAAAAAAGAAAAATACTAACAAAAAAGTTTCTGCATTTTTCTTAAGTCATTCATCCCATCCCAACCCCTCAACTGCAAAAACAGTAACAGAAGCCATGGCTCAGAAAAAAGTGGAGTCCAATCACTTATACACCTGATATGAGAGTCTCACTATGTGTACAAGATGTACCTTGCTCTTCCAATCTTGAGTAACTCAGATTACAGATGTGTACCACCATACCTGGTTTAAGGGACTAAATTTTAAGTTGAATAAAAAGCTAGGCATCTTTACACCTTGTCCCCTTGCTTGTACAACCATATCCTGACTATCCCATGTCAGGTCCATTTCTCAAGTCAGCTCTACATGAATAAAGGTCATAAAGACATCCTGTAGAACCAGAGCCGTCATAGGAAGAGAACCTAGCCAGGCGTGGTGGCGCACACTGGTAATCCCAGCACTCAGCAAACTAAGATAGGAGGATATGAGTTCGAGACCAGCCTAGGCTGCAAAGTGAGCGCAAGACCAGCATGAACTACATAGTGAGACCCTATGACAAAAAGACAAAAAACGAAAGAGAACCTAAATGGCTTGCCAAGTTAAAGAAAGGTCAAGGATTTCTCAAGGTTAGAACACTTAGAAAATTTGGGGGTTGGAATAAAAGGGCAGGACATTAATTCTTCCTACTCTCGTGTAACCTTACAGAAGGATCAACCTTCTTTTGATTATAAAGGGGCTGGGGCATAATTCAGTGGTAAAATGCTTGCCTAGTGTGCAGGAAGCCTTTAGTTTGATCCTTAGCAAGGCAACAACCATAATGCAAGTCCTGTGGTCAGCCAGGTTTGGTGGCACACATGTGTGTTCCCACAACTTAGGAGGCTGAGGTACAAGTATCGCCATGAGTTTGAGGTCTGCCTGGGCTACACAGTGATTTTGAGGCCAGCCTGAACTATATACAACTCCATCTCAATAAAAAACAAAAACAAGGGGCCAGGGAGATGGCTCAGTGGAATAAGCGCTTCCCTGGCAAGCCCAAGGGCCTGAGTTCAATCCCTGGTTCCGCAAAAAAAGAAAAAACAAGGGGGCTGGGGAGATGGTTCAGTAGAATAAGTGCTTCCCTGGCAAGTACTAGGGACTGAGTTCAATCCCCCTCCCCTTCCGACAAAAAGAAAAAAAAAAAAAAAGAAAAAGAATTGCGTACCCTGAACCACAAGGGACAGGAATTCAATCCCCGGGCCTGCCCTACCAGTCCTGCCCCCGGGGCACCCTGAGACAGCAATTGAACCTGGGCGTGGTGGCGCGTGCCCATAATTCTAGTGCTTGGGAGGCTGTAAATAGGAGGAAAACTATGAGTCCAACCTACACAGTGAGACCCTGTACACCCTGTCCTAAATACAAAAATAAATAAATAAATAAAAGATAAATAAATAAATAAATAAATAAA